GAGGAGGAGGAGGAGGAGGAGCAGGAGGAGGAGGAGGAAGAGGAGGAGGAGGAGGAGGAGGAGGAGGAGGAGGAGGAGGAGGAGGAGAGGAGCAGGAGGGAGGAGGAGCGAAAAGGAGGAGAGGAGGAGGAGGAGGAGGAGGCGGAGGCAGAGGAGGAGTGAGGAGGAGGAGGAGGAGGAGGAGGAAAGGAGGAGGAAGGAGGAAGGGAGGGAGGGAGGGAGGGAGGGATGCCTGCGGGGAGGACGCCCGTCGCGACGCGGCGCCGGCGCTGCGGGATCTTGCGAGCTCCAACGACGACCTGGTCGAGCGGGCGCCCCCCCTTGCCGGTCTCGGCTCCAGCTCCTGCCTCCTCCGCCTCTTTCTCTTTCCCTCCTCCTCCTCCTCCTCCTCCTCCTCCTCCTCCTCCTCCTCCTCCCCCTCCTCCGTAGCCATTTTGGCTCAAGATGCAGGTTTCCTCTGGGAACCAAGCGGATACCGCTAGACCGCGGCAGGCAAGACTTCTTGAAGTCTGGCATCGTCTCCTGGCCACCCTCCTCGCGCTCGGGTCGGTGGGTAAACGGAGGCCTTTCCCGTTCCTGTCGGCACATGCCATGCCTGGTGCAGGGAGCCCCGAGAAGCACCGCCTGGACTCGGAGGACTCCCACAGCTGCAGCGGCCGCTCGACTTCAAGGACGCGCTCCTCCAAGTCCCACTCGAGGGCGTCCGAGCGCCGCGAGGCGCCCCCAGCGGAGCGTGGACGGCTGGTGCGCCCTGGTGCTGCTGCGCCGCCTGCTGGCCACGCTGGTCCTCCTGGCCGTCGGGGAAAAAGGCGACAGGAAGGCATCCAACGAGGAGAGATGGCGCCAGCGGGCTGCTGATGCGGCCCTCGAGATGCAGAGAGACGGTATTGACCTCGACATGCTGCCCACGTTCCCATCGCAGAGCGTGGGTGACGCTGGTGTCGGGGAAGCCGCCGCCAGGGACGTCGATGCTGGAACCAGGGCCGCTACCTGTCCTGACGCTGGCGTCGGTGGTGACCCGTGGAGGACCTACCTGGGCAACGGCGGGGCCCCCTCGGGTCACGCGGCAGCACTGGGCCCCAGTCGTGGCCATCCTCCCGCCCATGCTGCTCCTCAGCGCGACCTGCGGCATGGTGCAGCTCCTGCGGCCATTCCTGCGACGACGGCGTCTGGTGATACGGGCGCCGCTGAGGATGCTGTCATGCCCAACCCCACCCAGGCCGCCCTCCTCCAGCAAGTGCAGGCCGCCATCACCTCCGCTGTCACATCCGCGGTCGTTGCCAGCGTCGACGCCACCCTCACGGCGGGCCTGGCGCAGATACAGGGAGTCATGGAATCGCGTGTCGGCGCCGTCGAAGGACGCCTTCATGGGGTTGAGCAGAAGCAGATCGACATCGAGAGGCAGCTGCGGGCGGACATCGCGCAGCTCCGCGAGCAGATGGGCATCATGGCGAGAGTGGAGCCATGCGCTGCCCCTGCTGGCCCTGACTGGGATCGCCCTCCAGACCTATCCGCAGTGGTGGTACGGTGCAAGGAGGAGCTCCCCGCGGCGACCTTCAAGCAGGTCATCGACCCCCTCCTCGCGGACGCTGGCATGGGCCCCGACTCGTTCGTGGTGGAAGCGGAGCCCCTCGGCAAGCGCTGCGTCTTCCGCTTCAAGGGGCCTCCCGAGCTCGGGGCAAGGCGGGCTGCTAAGGTGCTGGGGTGCATGCGCATTGGCCGCGGTGAGTGGCGCAAGCCGCGCGCCACGACGCCCGCTGGCCACGACGTGGACGTCTTCGTGGCGCCCGACCAGAACCGCAAGCAGGTCATGCACGAGCTCACGCTCAGGAAGCTCGCCATCGCGCTGGGGCGTGTCATCGGCGACGGGCACCGCATCTTCATCGATAAGCAGAAGTTCTCCCTCTCGTCCCAGTGGAAGTCCTTCCTCCGCCTCTCCATCGACGGCCCCAACTCCACCCCTTCGGTGTCCTGGTCCCCATCTGCGCTCTCGGCACTCGGGCTGCGACGTGAGGACCTGGCACCGACGGTCGAGGCGGCG